TATGGGGGGAAGTAAAGGGGAAAAATTAAGACTACCTTACACAGATCTTGGGTAGTACAGATAGTCCCAGGCATGTTTAGAATGTGGAACGACCATTCTGAGAAGAGCAAGAAGCAAAGGCAGGAAAGTATAGCAAAAACCTAATTCAAGGTAAGGTTTATGGGTAAACAATGTAAGCCTATGCTGTAAAGGTAATTTAAAGTCAAATCTTGAGGGCTTTAAATGTGTTAAAAGAATTTGAACTTCACTCTCCACCATGTGAGGACATGATGAGAAGGTGGCCATCTGCAAGCCAGGAAGGGTTCACCAGAAACCAATCCTTTCGGACTTTGGTTTGGAACTTGTAGCTCCCAGAAGTTTCTGGAGGCTGGGGAGTCCGAGATCAAGATGCTGGCAGCTCTGCTTCCTGGCGAGATGAAGCATCCAGAGAAAGAACACCATGTGAACATGCAGATGGCCTTCTACAAGCCAGGAGAGGGGCCTGGAACAGCTGCTTCTCTCACAGCCCTCAGAGGAAACCAATCCTGCCAGCACCTCGATTTCGGATTTCTAGCCTCCAGAGCTGCTTGCAATACTTTCTCACATGAAACACAGATGGCATTTGTCCATGGAAGGATGCTGTTATGATCCAAGGATTCTTCCATCAAATGAGTTTGCTGGAAACTTATTCCCAATGTTTCTCTCATTTCCTTTTCCCTTTACAATTTTTAGGGCAAAGGTCCCATTTTTCTACCAATTTCCCTGCTTCTTTTTATGGTGTCTACAGGAAATGTGAAAAGTCATTAGGATCAAAGAGGTACATCTCTTACCTTTCACCCTATATAATAAAAGCCTAATATGCAAATTGTCCCCTCAACCGGGAATTCAACCAGTTTGACCAGGGAGTGGGGCTGGCAGCAGGCGGCTAGGGGAAGGGGAGGCGCCTCTGGCGGGCAGCCACTAGGGACCCTATCCATGCACGATTTTTGTGCACTGGGCCTCTAGTTCTTTTATAAATCAGTGGGTTATAGTGCTAGTCTAGACCGAAGCCACCACAATTTCTGATAATCTATGATGAAATTCTGCAGAATAATTTGCCTCAAATAGTAAGTAAATGTGTTTACTTATTAAATGGAACTTTCAACATTAAAATCAGTTTTACACATAGATATCTAAAAAAAGACTGTTGCTTTGTGTTTATCAATGGGTTGAAATTTCTTAAATACAATCTTTTAAAAAATGAAAAAAGCACAAGAAATTGGACTTCATTCAGTAGAGGGAGGCAGTTCAAGTCTGGAAACATGACCAAGGACGTGTTCTAGGAAGACTGATAACCTAGAATCAAATCCTTATACAGGCACACCTTGTTTTATCGCGTTTCACAGGTTGCAATTTTACAAATTGAAGGTAAGCCCTCCGCCAGCAAAAGGCTTTATTGTGGTGGTCTGGAACTGGGCCTGCAGAATCTCCGAGGCATGCCTGCATTTAAAGCCGTTCTCATAGATACTGTGGCTAGGTCCACCCCCCAGACTGGAGTTCATTTTGTTAGGGATGAGGCTCAGGCACCACCCCCAGGTTTAAAAGCACCTCAGATGATCCTAACATGCAACTAGGGTTGAAAGGCATTGCTTTTTATCTGTAGTTTATGTTGATACAGTAAGGCTCCTATCACAATTTTTTATATATACTCAAAATTCTGAAGAAACCACATTAACAAGGTAAAATGACCCAGTAAAATTAAAACTAAAAGCACACCATTAAACCATTCCCATCACAAAAGAAAAACAAATATTGAATATGTACAACTTATTTAATAAATTAATGTCATTCGAAATACAGTGCCAGAACATTATGCAGTTGAACATGCTAGTAATGTTTGTCGTGAAGCACCTGTGCTCATGTTAGATGGGCAGCGCCGCTACTGCTAGTGGTTCCTGGATGAATGCCAGAGCAGCACTTGTTACCTGCTCGTCCGCACAGCCAGTGCAGAGAATTCCTGAACAGTTCACCCTTCTAATCCTACCCACACACAACAGGTTAAAAAAACACACCCTGACGGCTAACGGGTATCTACACAATCACTCTACAGTAATGCTTGTTATTAAATTAAGATGTAATGACCTGGTTGACCCACTCTAAATCTTTAAGATGGAGAAATACAACAGCAGCAGGTAGTTATACGCATGAGCCAATGTTAATGTAATACAGAAAGTGGAGGCATTTACTGATGAATGCTCCACCCAGACCCGCACAATGAGGGACTAGCAAATTTCATTGCAAGCCCAGCAACTTAAGTCTATACCTGGTAAATGACCAGCTGATTGGAAGACCTGTATTCTAGAGACAAGTATAAGTTAGTGGAAAGAGAAAGAGAGTACATGCACCTAATAGTATAGTTAGACTGGTCCTGCAGTCCTAGCTCTCCCTGTGTAATACCATAAAATGGAAGATCTTCCTCAACTATAGTACAGGATTGAGACATTTCTATTCCAACATGGACGTTAGTGTTAAGTGCAGCTGAACTAATTACACCGAAAAACTGTATTCCAGGACTTCAGAACAGAAGCACAGGAACGAAATACATATGCTAAAATAACCTCAGCACAATTTGTGATATACCACACTAGGAACAGGAAACTAGTTTAATAAGTGAACTTTTTGAACTGTACATACACAGGGCTAACAATGTTAGATAATCCAGATTCTATGCTCTCATGATACACATAAAATTATTACAATTATTGGATAATCTATTTCATATTATGGAAGCATATCTTTCTGCAAGACTCACTGATATATATTATACTGATGCAAATATTAAGTAGGGCATAAAAATAAAATTTATCAAAGATAGATTTTTATGTACTCATATTAGTCCTTTCATAGCCTCTCTTATTTAGCAAAGAAAATGACAAAGCACATAAATCAGGCGTGCACCTCCTGAACTCCCAACTATACAGGTGGTAGTGCAACCATTACTCAATCCAGTTCGAACTCCTCTGTCCCATCCGGTAGAAAAAGATAGGTTGGTGGTTTCCACGGAGATTCTTCCAGGCAGGATGGATAAAGTTTCCCCACAGTGCATCGGAAGTCTCTCCCTAGGTCCCACAGTACACGTTCAGATATATGCTGCCGCAGAGACCACCGGTCGAGTTCCAGATCATACTGGTAAGTGACATATTTAGCTCTTTCATTTAAGTGAGTTTCTCGCATAAACACACACAGAGAATTTGAGATCACAACAGCTCGAACGCAGGGATCTGAGTACCTCTTAGCAGGGATGTTGGCTGCCATTTTCCATTCATTTTTATTCACATCATAAATTTCCACAGTTACCGAAGACCCATCTACAGTGCTGGAAGGGAATCTTAAACCAGAATTGGTAGCAATGTGTAACCCTCCAATATAGAAAATTTTATCACCAAAAGCTGCAGCTGAAGCAAAAGACCTGCTAGTCTGTCTCATGGCCATTTCTACCCACGAGTCAGACCTTGGAAAGTAACAGTACATGAGGTTCAGCGTCATCACGTAGATACAGTCATGAACCACAACTGCTGCGCTCCACTGCCAAGCACAAGGCAAAGGGCTCACCATTGTCCACTCATCCTTCTCAGTGTCATATCTTTCAACGGTCCTCCGATTAAGTTCTCCACCTACACTATCTCCTCCAATTGCATAAATATAGCCTTCACAGCAAACCAAGGATGGCTTTACTCGGACAAAAAGCATCGGCGTCTTTGGAAACCAGGTATTTTGCTGTGCATCAAACCAATAAAAGCAATTCACAGTTCTGAAGGCAGTCTGAAGTTTGCTTGTCTTACTATGATTTGTTTTTGTGTTTTTCAAAGGAATCTGACCACCTGCTATATAGATGTCATTATCAGGAGTTACAACGGTCCCAACTTTATGCAAATCAGCTGGTGGGCTGCAGAGCTTGTAAACTTTTTTCTGCTTGGGGACTGTAACAGACAGAAGAGTAAAGACTACAGAATTTTCTGAAGAGGCTTCAATGAAAATCATCATCTCCTCTTTAGTCATCCCAAGTCTTGGTTTGAAAAACTTGGGCATGGATTTATACAGACCTTGAACCACGACAGACTTATCATTGGGTGGCAGACCTTGAAACCAAGCTCGCTGTGTTACTTCTGAAAGTGCATCGATTCTGATTTGGCTAAGAACTGAAGACAAATACTGGGATCGTGCTTCTGTGTTGTACTCTAGCCACAGCATAGCAGCTTCGCGAACTGTCTCCTCCTTTTCTACATTTAAGTTGTCACTACTGAGAATGTCTATCAGGAGGTCATGGGACAGCTGCATGAACGCTTCCTGGTGACACACAACAGTGAACTTGTGCTCCACCATTCTTTTAGCACTTTGTTTCAATTCCTCACAACTGAACAGATCAGCAAAGCTCAACAATCGCACACAATTCTCTGCATTTATTTTTTTAATTAAATATTCCCGACAACGTTGCAACACATCTTCTACCTAAAAGAAAAGAAACAAAGTTGATAAAGGCAGAACAGACACATTTTATTTTGTGTAGATACTGGTATATTAATCAGATCCCTATACTGTAGTTTTTATTTTTAGATACTTATTTTGGGCTAAGAGATGTTTTCTGTAATAATCAAATTAGAAGACTGTACATATAGCTTTGCATTTTTCCCACCTGTCCAGTGGCCTACTTAACTGCCCTAATTTAGGAGCCAGTAGTATGACATTAAACAGGCTCTTAAAAAACGAAAGGGAAACGTTAGGAAATTCACGTATAAGTTAAAAATGTGTAATTGAGAGAACCAAATGAAAACGATGGAAGTAAATCATAGTACAGAAAATGAACATTGTTGAGAAGCTGGAATCTGGTTTTATCAATATGGACAAGACAGTCAAATAAAACCAGTAAACCATGTATAATGACTAAAAATAGTTATACATGCCTTTCTTATCTAGAGAGCTAAGACAACCAAAGGAATAACAAATACATTTCTGTATAGTTATAAATTATCTTTATTTACTTCCTTATTTTTATAGAGCATGGGAGAAAGGGAAGGGAGGGGGAGAGAGAGATAGAAACATTGATGTGAGAGAGACACATTGATTCGTTGCCTCAGGACCAAACCTGCATCCAAAGTCCATGCTCTTGACCGGGGAATTAAACCCTTCAGTGCAGGGGCCGACACTCTCATCACTGAACCAAACCGGCCAGGGCTAAATTATCTACATTTAGATGACCTAACCTAGCCACTCTAAGTTTTCTAGGTTTGTTTTTTCTTAAGAAGGAAAAGTAGATCTCAGATGAATCAGAAGTGTTAACCTACTATACTTATTCAACATCACAGAGGTTAAAAAGTAAAGAAAAAACCACAGTGGTTAACTAAAAGCAATTTTTAAAAAAATATATATTTTATTGATTTTTTACAGAGAGGAAGAGAGAGGGATAGAGAGTTAGAAACATCGATGAGAGAGAAACATCGATCAGCCATCTCTTGGTTTGTTTTTTCTTAAGAAGGAAAAGTAGATCTCAGATGAATCAGAAGTGTTAACCTACTATACTTATTCAACATCACAGAGGTTAAAAAGTAAAGAAAAAACCACAGTGGTTAACTAAAAGCAATTTATGGAGAGAAGTTGGGTTGCTTGGATTCAAAACTTGCACCCTATTAGTCAAGTAGCTACTTCTCTAAGTCTCAAATGTATAAAATGGGGAAATCTTTACAAATAATTATTGTAAGAATTAGATAGAACCTATATAGAGCATATAGTACAGTACCTGGCACATAAACATTAACCACAAAGCCCTGGCTTGGCAGCTCAACTGGTTAGAGCATCATTCCGATATGCCAAGGTTGCGGGTTCGATCCCGTATTAGGGTACATACAAGAAGCATCCAATGAATGCACAAATAAATGGAACAAAATCGATGTTTCTCTTAAAACAATAAAAATATTTTTAAAAAAGAAACCAGTTAATGTAAACAGAAGAAACTGCTTACCTGCAGGAAGCAAGCTGTTTCATAAAGCTGTTCTACAGTGCTGTCATTTATTGCCAAATTACCCGTGTACGCGTAAGTAATTATTATCTGTAAGGTGGCTGCATCCACATTCCTCAGGTGTACATGTGTCTGTTTGCTTTCACTTAGCCCACTCATGAACATGGCCCTACAGCAGAGAGAAAAAACAAACCTTTGCTTTTAGTGTAAAACAAATGTAGAGCTAAAAAGAGAAGCTAGACAACATGGGATGTTTATTTAGCAGTGGTTCTCAACCTTCTGGCCCTTTAAATACAGTTCCTCATGTTGTGACCCAACCATAAAATTATTTTCGTGGCTACTTCATTACTGTAATGTTGCTACTGTTATGAATCATAATGTAAATATCTGACATGCAGGATGGTCTTAGGCGACCCCTGTGAAAGGGTCGTTCGACCGCCAAAGAGGTCGCGACCCACAGGTCGAGAACCACTGATTTAGGGCATTTGCTGATGAACAACTTCTTGGGAAAACTTTTGAGTGAGACAACACGAAAGTACAATCCAGTGCCAAAGTTATACAAACTTCTATTCTACCACGCCATTCTGACTGACAACGCCAATATTCATTTACAGGCAAACCTTGTTTTATTTCACTGTGGCATACCATACCACTCTTTGCAGATATTGTGGTGTGTGTGTGTTTTTTTTTTTTTTTTTTTTTTACAAATTGAAGGTAAGACCCAGCAAAAAGATTACAATTCACTGAAGGCTCACCTAACAGTATTTTTCAGAAAGGTTATTTTTTAATTAAAATATGTACTTTTTTTTTTTAGACATAATGCTTTTGCACACTACTACACTACAGTATAAAGTTTGATGTGCACTGGGAAACCAAAAAATCATGTGACTCGCTTTATTATGATATTTGCTTTGTTGTGGTGGTCTGGAACTGAATCCACAATATCTCCGAGGTCTGTCATGGGACACTATTGGGCAATAAAAAGGAACTAAGTATTGGTATGTATCATAACACAGGTGAACCTCAAAAACATTATACTCAGCAAAAGGAGCCAGATACAAAAGCCACATGGTATATGAGTCCATATATATGAAATGTCCAAATACGTAGACAGAAAAAGGAGACTAGTAAACAAAAAGTTAAGAATCTATCATTTTAAAATTTAAATAATGCTTAAAGAATTCCTAATAAAAGCTATGATTCTGCATTTGAAATGACAAACTAATCAAGGTTAAAGTACTTACCTGAAGTAAGAGCTACATGTGGCAAGAACCATCTTATGACAAGGGAACTCAGTGCCCTCAACAATTAACACTATGTCAGTAAACAACTGCTGTTCATAAAATAGTTTTAACTGTTCCAACAAGGACACTGCATACTCAGTATTGACCTGCCTCTCGTCTTGAGTGGACATGACTGTATTCCATTAATATCTCCCGGAGCAAACTAGAAAAGTCAGTCTTACTGATGGAAGGTCAAGTGAATGTTTCAGAAATAAAGAAAGGAGAAATCCCGCCTGCTGTGATCTGCAGCATTCAGAACCAAGACTGACACTGTCACTAATGAACAGTTTCTTGTTAGAGACGGAAAGGCACTCCTAGGTCATCCTGTGTTAACTAGGCTCTTCAGAGTTTGTCAACACAGTCTGCAGACATCGGTCTCAGCTTGGCAATGGTTGTGCACGCTGAGTGTGAAAGACAGAGGCAGGCTTCGTGGCAACATCCTCTATTCTGTGGATCTTCTGGAGTAACTAAAAAGAAAAAAAGTTCAGTTACAGTATTTAGGCCAGTACACTTTATATTACCATAAAAATGAAACATGAGGAAAGGAATGTTTTTTAAAAGTCTATCACATTTAAAATTAAAAATAGACTGAAGAAAATTAACATCTGTAATTTTACCTTCAATACAAAATATAAACATTCTAGAAAACAAGAGGCAATAGTAAGTATACATTTTTAAAGTTTTTAAAAAAGAATTTGGGGAAAAAAAAAAAGAATTTGAATCACAAAGCCAGATCTTCTAGCTATTTGTTTAGTGGCAATACATGACCATAACTTAAGAGAAAAAAATACCCTTTTTCTCAGAGATTCTCATTTTGGGGATATACTTTAAACATATTCATAAAAACTTTGTATTTAATTTACATTATTAAACTATATGATAGACTCAACTTATTTGCAAGACATAAACTACACATTTTTTAAGCCTGCAGTTCAATTCTACAAGGGAAGTTTATGTAATATTAATCTTCATACAGTGCTTCCTTCCTATAAATCTTTTTTAAAATTAATTAATTTTATTCCTTCAATTTTTTATAAGAGCACACAATTTTACTGGGGGGAAAACCAAAAACACAAAACAAGATAAAATAGATGTTTTCTTAAACGGAAGACTCCATATTATATAAGTAAATTAATGTGTAAATTTAATACAAATCCTATCTAAATCCTATTTGCGGAGGATTCATCTGGAAGAATGCACAAGAAAGGAGGGCAATTTTGTCCTCATGACTTATTTCAAATTAGGAAGAGTGGCTTATTTCAACAATGTTGGAATCAATGGCTATCCACAAAAACCCACATTTTAACCACATTGTACACTATTTATAAAAAGAAAACTCCCACTGAATTAAAGTTTAACTTTAATTAGACCGGATAGACCAGACGTCTTCTGGACATCCTTCCTAACTAAGCCGGGGCCCGGCCTGGGGGAAGCCGCCCACGTCCTGGGTGCCTGCGGCCAGGCTGGGGGGAGGGAAGCTGCCTGTGGTCCCGGGTGCCTGCGGGATCAGGCCTAAACTGGCAGTCGGACATTCCCCGAGGGGTGCCGGATTGCAAGAGGGTGCAGGCCGGGCTGAGGAGACCACCCCCATGCATGAATTTCATGCACCGGGCCTCTAGTATAATAAAAGCCCAACATGCTAAGTGTCCGACCGCATTCAACCGTTCGACCAGTCACTATGACATGCACTGACCACCAGGGGACAGACGCTCTGACCGGTAGGTTAGCTTGCTGCTGGGGTCCGGCTGATCGGGACTGGGCTAGACCCGCCCTGGAGCCAACCTCCTGCGGTCCTTCCCCAGCCTCTAAAATATTTCTTCTAATTAATTTCCTTTCAACGTGCATGAATCTGTGCCCTGGGCCTCTTTCTTGAAATAATATTTATTACTGCAGTATTACAAAGAAATTACAAATAAGGAAAAGAGAGGAAACCCATACAGAAAGCTAGTAATAGCTAATTTAGAACTAACTAGATGACTCTTAGTTCCCATAATCAGAAAGTCAAGTGGCTGACACAACACCTAAAATATGAGCATGATTGGATCCACTAACACTCATGAAATACCATTCATATGTCAAAGAGATCACATTGTACTTCCTGCCCAACTATACTATTACAGAAACTGCTAACTTGGTGTAAACTGTCCAATTCCCAGCCAAGTTAACTACGGAAGTAACTGAAACAGATGCAAAGGTAGAATGTGACTTTGGGTCAGTTAAGTAATGACTTTGCTATTCCAGATCTGGGAGTTGCACTATAAATCTAAGTTCTACTATTTACTACAACCTCCAAGGCCAATAAAACCTAAAATCACTGGCTATTTTCACATATTAATACAGCAAAGCCTAGTGTTAGTGAGGATGTGGAAAATGAGCTTTCTTATAGAGGACTAAGTTGGTACATACCTACAACGCCTTATTCAAAACTCTTGGGGATAGATATGCTCTGGAATTTAGAATTTTCAGATTTTATAGAGTAATGTGGTGCACGTATCATGTATTACAAGGCTCTCTCAAAGAGTATGGGGCAGCACCCCATAATCAAACATTACTATCCTTACTGCAGGAAACAGGAACAGTGTGAAAAATAATACTATATATAGCCTCATGTTACTTCAGGTCAGGTTTCATAGGCAAAGCTTTATTAAAACTTGGTTTTAAGAGCTTTCTGAATTTCGGAATTGCAAGTGAAGTATTACGTAAGTATAATATTTGGCATTATAAATGCTTAATACTCAATTCTATCTCTAGGAATTTATCTTACAGAAATGCATGTACTAATAAACTGAAAGTTCTAACACTAGCTGCAGGCCCCAAAATCATCCCCATCCACATTTAAACCAGGTGGTAGGAACTGGCCGCCAAGGCCAGGATGGATTTGGATTGTACTGCTAGCCCCCGGAATTCCTTGCAGGCTAGCTATACAGGCTCACTCCAGTAATTTCTTTAACCTCCTGCTATGACCTGATTTTTTTTGCAGTGACTTTTTTGGGCCGCACTTAATTTATGTTTAGATTTTTTTTTTATCACATATGAAACTATTAAAATAATTGAAGACTGCTTTTAGAGCATCAGTTAGCCAACTTTATGTAATCCTCATTATCACTGATTTATACACCCCTACTTCCGTAATTTCATCCTAAGATAATTTTTATTCAGGATACCTTAATATTAAAATAGACAGAAAAAAGCAAATCATTTAGATATCACATTAGGTAAATAAAGATTTACTTAATGTGGTATCTAAATGACTTACTGGGAACATAGACTTCAAAATGTATTAACTAAAAAATGTGAAAAGTTAAGTTTAAGATGACCAACCAACAGCCTTCAAATGCCTGTAACATGAACATTTTCTATAACAAGATTCCTTCTTTCCTAAAAAACAACAGAAATTGATAGCCTAAATCAGCGGTTCTCAACCTGTGGGTCGCGACCCCTTTGGGAGTCGAACGACCCTTTCACAGGGGTCGCCTAAGACCTTCGGAAAACACATATATAATTACATACTGTTTTTGTGATTAATCACTATGCTTTAACTATGTTCAATTTGTAACAATGAAATTGGGGGTCATCGCAACATGAGGAACTGTATTAAAGGGTCGCGGCATTAGGAAGGTTGAGAACCACTGGTCTAAATGCTCTAAAACATTTCACAGTTTGTACTATATTACTTAACTATTAATGATCTGACACATTATACAAATTTTCCTTTTAATAAATATACTGTCATATCACTGAATTATATTAAAATTCGCTTCAAAATAAGTGCTACATCCTATTATCTGTAGACGTTAGCATCCTCAAAGTAATTTTCAGGTATCAAGGAAATTGTTTACTTAATCTTCTATTATAAATTAATGGCTACTGAAATCTAACTTTATAAATGTTTATTGAGTTCTCTAGTAAGTGTTGGTCATTGAACTATAAGTAATCAGGCTGAGTGGCCAACCACTACAGTGCCAACACACCAAGTGCATTTATTCTTAGTATAGACTACAGCCAAAAACCATGACTGTCCCTTAAAAACAGGGTGTTTTAAACAAAACTAGACAAACTAAAGAGCCAAAAGAAGTGAATAGGTAAATAATAAGCAAGCCAAGTTGGGTATAAGAAACATTTATCTTGAAATCTAGCTGTTTTGATCTTTCATTTCCAAACTTTTGACAGAGATAAGAAAGTTTATTCTTTACCATAAGACAAATTGTATGAGCAAAGGAGGTAGCTGGCACCTGGCCCCACTGCTAACAGTGGTTCACACTGCAGAGGAAGGAAAAATTTATTGAACACCTACTGAATTTATTAATATATGCAAATGATTATCTAATTAAAAAAAAACTTTCAAAAGGAGTACTATTCTGTTCTCATTACAAAGACAAAATATTTTAGGCTTTGTAAGCCACAAAGTATCTGTCCCAAATACTTAACTCTGTTGTTATAGCCTGCAAAAAGCAATAGACAATATTTAAAAAAATGGACATGATTATTTCACTAAAACTTTATCTACAGGCTGCAGGCCACATATACCAATCTCTGCTGTCAGACTGTTTCTTGATTAAATATTAAAAATCAGTGACAAGAGTTATCTGGCTATCCTGTCCATTCCTTAGGTTTGTTCCTATTGTCTGAACTGCCCCCTCAAATGGTGTGATACATGCTCATACATATTATATTAAATACATCCTTGTATTTTTATTTTCAGCATTGCCAAGGTACTATGGGAAATTAAAGTAACAAAAAGTAGAAAAAAATAAAATTACTTAAAAGCAAAAAAAATTGTTTTTCTTATAATGTTTTCCCTTCAGATTGCAAAAACAAGGAAAAAGCACAAAACTTAAGTGCCTCAAAGTTGAATATAATTCTTTATCTAACCTGTATATAGTTCACTTTTCTTTTCAACTGAAATATTTTAACATCTCACACCTAATCACACAACTGCTTTCCCCACCTACTATATGTTAAATACTTTTTGTATTTAGTATGAACAAGATATCCCTTTTTTAAAACCTCTAATAAAGGTTTTAAAAAAGGGACATTCCTCTCCAAGAGAATCTGTTGAAAAAACCCACAATGAGAAAAAACACGATTGTAGTCAGAAACACTTAAATTACTTTTCATTTTTATCAACTACAATATCTGCAAATGTATGTAATGTTTACATACATTTGAAAGAGAAGATGTATACAAGACAATGCTTGCATTAAGACAGTAGATACTTGGATTAATTAAATGAAAGAAGGGGCAGAGATTGGGAAATCACTGTTGCAGGCTACAATTCCTGATTATTAGGAAAGTCTTACATTTAGAGCAGCTCATTAGAACATATTTCATAGTGAAAAATGTCAACTAGAGTAAGAATAAGAAATAGGAGTCATACAAACATAACATAATGAAATTCAGGAACTAATAAAGTATAATGTACTTTGACATAAAATTTAGGTTCTAATATACTTTGTCTAAGCTTCCAAGGTTCTAATGAGTGAATTCCACTACACAAAATAATTTCAAACCAAACATTCTGTTATTAAATGATCATTAGGATTAAATCAGTCAGCAATCCATAGTAATATATATAATTCTACTTAAAAACCTGAAACACCTCTTAGGGAAAATTACTGCAGCTGGTTTTTCTCCCTTAAATAATCAATGAGACTGATCAGCAGTTAACTGAGCTGTGTATGTTAAAAGAAAGGAAGGATAAAAAAAAATGAGAAGGGTGCAAACAAGGACTGCACAGAAATTACAGGGCAGGGACAACATAGTGATAGAGAGAAGGGCCCACAATGGGCTACAGGTCATCACCTGTATAGAAGCACCTCCACGTTGTGTATTACTAACCTAGGTGGTGCTGCATCTTCCATTGCTACCACTGTCAACCCAGAAGACTGAAAACTTCTATTGGAAAGAACCCAAGGCTTTCTGGATGTTAAATATTGCCAAAAAATTAAGAGCAAAAACTGTGAAGCCAAATTACGTGAGTTGAAAGCCCAATTGGCAACTTATTGGTTGTGTGACCTTTTTAAAGTTACTTACTTTCTGTGATGTAAAATGAGGGATAAAAATAAGCTCTTCTCAATGAATAGAGGCTGGAGGAGTGACTGACACACAGCACTACTATATAAATATATACAATTATGTTTGTTTGTTTTTTATGCATCATTGATGTTTTTTATGCATCATTGATGAAGCTTTTTGTAGCCTTTTCCCAACTCCTGAATCTCCACACCTCAGCACTTAAACACAGTTCTCATTTCACCCTGGGTGAACGGTATTTTAGATAAGAGAAGTTCGTTCAAAGTTTTTAGGGAGTATTTTTGATGGTACAAATGAAACAAACTAATTCAACAAAGACTAATCCTGAGAAGGCTGGTGCCAGTACAGAAAAAGGAAATGAGGGCCAGGGAGGCACCAGTCATAAAACAAGCCTTTCTTACTTCAATGAGGAGACAGGCCTCTCTTGAGGGAGAACAAAAGACTGGTGCCAGAAATAGTTTGCTTTCAAGTTATCAAAACAACCCTCACAGTTGAGAATGCTCGGAAGACTTAGTCTTTGAATTGTCAACCACTACACAAACAGTTTTTTGGAGCTGTGACAAACACCAATTAAGAAACAAACACTTACCAAGTTTGATAAATTTCAGTACAGTGTCCCCTACTCTAATCAAATTCAGAGCTTAGGTCTATTCCCATGTTCCTCCTTTCCAACCACACTGGAAAGACTACATGGCTCCATCAAGTAAACTATGCTCAGAACTCCTAAGTAAATTCAGGTCACAAGTTGAATAAATTATACTTTTAAAAAATTAAACAAGAACATAAAGGAGGCGCCATCTATGACAGAATAATTATGGGTGATAGGTCTTTTTATTTTTGATATTACTTTTTTCCTCTCAGTTCTGCACGGTGACTAAAGAAAGCTTTAGCTAAATTTCGCTAAAGTGAAACTGACCCTAACTTTTTCACTGGGATTTCATTTTCCACCAAATCAATGATCTTTTCAATCACAATAGCAGAAGAAAGTATTTCCCAGCTATACAAACATACTCATGAGGTCATTAGGGGCATAGCCACTTAATGATTACAACTGATGTTTCTCAATTTCTTTAAAAAATAAAGGGCAACCTGAGGAATAGAATGTTCTGCCTACCATGGAAGCTACTGCATGCAACCACGTGTCAGAGGTGTGGGAGTAGAGAAAGGGAAAAAAATTTACAGCACCTCTCATAAAATGATTGTATTTTCTCCAAATCTCTTATAATAATCCCTTCTTCCAACACCAAAGGAATCTAGGTACTGCAAATACCTGCCAAGGGAACCAGGAGTAACCTTCATATACTTTTAAAAGTTATTTGAAATCAATCTGTCACTTCAAATATTGAGTTATTCAAATATTAGTTGCTCTATTCAAATGCCACAAAACTGAAAATGATAAGACTGAGATATAATAAAGGACTTTGGCATTTTCATTCATGTACTTTATGACAGCAGGATCAATCTTTTTTTCCTGGTCTTAGCAATGTGGGCAAGGAGAAAAACAACTCTTTTCTAAATGTGTGAAATAAAGCTGCATTCCAGTTTCCAGGAACTGACCATCCACCTTAAACACATGCATTGTTCAATGTTTGGATGGTATGAAACACCTCATTATTTCCATTAACCGAGAGAAAGAAAACCTATGGAAGAGTGTAGACTTAAGTCCTATGACACCTCTATTCCCACCTGTAAATAACAAACGCTCACATTTTGTGCTAATGCTTCCGATGAGAGCCAAAGGGTAGAAGAGTTACAGCATGCACAACTCTTCCTACAGAACCGTGCGGAGCAACAGCAGCGTGTGTGCAAGCGTGGACTCTGACGCATGCCCCACAGCGCGGCCCGAGTCCTGGCCAGTTTACCGACCAGCGTACTGAACAGCGACCACCTCTGGAGGACCTCAGGGCCCCACCGAAAAGGCCTTCAAAAAGCACTAGACCAACAAAAGGTCAAAGTGAAGCCAGCTTCACACTAGGTGAAAGCGGATGGAAAGAAAAACACAATTCCACATCATCGAGACTGGACAAGGATGGCCCGGTTTTACTTTTCAATGGACTTTTTAGGCCATAGACAAAGTCCTGAAACAACGTCAGGGGGGGAAAAAAAGCCCTTACGAAAGGTTACCTAAAACACGATCACCACTCAGAGGAAAGAAACACACAAACCGGCACCCTGCTAACTAGGAGGAAAGGTCCTTTTAGTGAGACCCCGCTGCCGATGGGGTTGTTTCCGGATGCCAGGGCGCTCGGGAGCCAGACAGACAGACAGAGTCCTCCAATACGGGCAGCACGTGACCCGCCCTGCAGCCTGCGCTCCTCCGCGGCCCAGTGATGCAGCCACTTCCCACCCGCAGACCCTGCACGCGCCGCGTTTCCCTCCGGATTGTTGTTGTTCTTCCACTTGCAGGACCCACCGCGGCGGCGGACAATTCTAGAGACCTGCGCCCACGGGGCGTACATTCCTCCCCGTGGGCCAGCTATAGAGACCCCTGGACTGCTCAGCCAGCAAATACAAAGAAACGAACTCAAAACAACTACTCATCCACGAGTGGATCGTCTTCTACTCCACGGTTTCTCAATCCAGCGCGAGAGGGCGGTCGGTGGTCGAGTTCCAACGAGTTACCCATTTCGGTCTAAAGTAAACACGTACACGACTCCCCCGTCTCAAAGGGCAGCGCCTGCTTTCTCCCTGAACAATCGCTAGCGGCTCACAAGGGGACCTCTGTGCGTCCGGCTGGTGGCCACCGCCGCCGCCCCTGCCCCGAGCACGGACGCCGCACGGCAGGGCTGGCCCTCCCCCGGCCCGCCGCCCGAGAGCTCGTCGCCCGGCGCCCAGGGAAGCGGCTTTCTTTCGGCGAAGAGCCGCGAGATTCGGGCCGAAAAACGCCCACGCAACCGCGTCCGAACCCGGGCCCCGGCCCCCGCAGCCTCATATTGGCCGCCTCTGTATGCGGAGAGAAGCTTAGTTTTATCTAGAGTAACCTATATTAGATTAAACTAAGTATTTTTGAAGGGAATAATTAGAAATAAAGAAATGTTTTGAGATAATGTTTTCTAAAATAACCAATACAAAGATTATGACA